ATATTATATAATACATTATGTACAATAATGATGAAACAAGTGATATTGAACAGAGGGCTATTTGCATGATAATGGCGTACACAATGTGAATAAATTCATGTGGTGTCTTCTCAACGTGTCTTAGAACAGCTTTTCTATTTTGCTAACAGCAACCATCTGAATAGATAAATCACCTTTTCACAGTTGGCTTTGGTTTGAAGATAGTTAATTGTTCATAACGCAAACTAGTTGACAATTCACCCTCCCCTTTATGTCAAACGTAGCATCCTTTGTCACTAAGTTATCTATTGTAAAGAAGTGCACGGACAATTTAGTTTTGTAATAAATGGACGGAACTTGTAGACAAGGCAAGGCGCAAAGAGGACAGACTGAAGGTCCATGGCGATAGCACAGCTTTTTACTGTTGCTAGCTGCAGCCAGTTTCTTATCGTTGTCCTTATAGGCTTGCGCTTGTTACTTTTCTTCACTAAAACGCTTCCAAATCTCATCACCAACTTTTCTGGCCATATGGCCCACACACAGGTCGCATTGACGAGTAACAGACATATTTTGTTCAAGGAAAATCCCCCTGAATGCCGAGATGGCCAAATGCGGTTGTTGTTTTTATGGTGACAAAGCGCAATATACTTATTCTGTGAAGTCCGTGTATACTATTGAAAATTGGTTCAGTATACAACTTTCCCGTTTTGTTTTCGACAGTAATGAGAACTCCATTTGGACAACTTTTCAAAGAAACCGCCAATAAGAAACGTTTTTTTGCTCAGATGCTTTCTTGTAGTGAAGGTTGTCCCTTGCACAGTGTTAGGGCAACGCTCTGTACTGGCAATTTCATTGGTGACAGAAATGCCCCTATCCAGTACAATGTTCCGACTAATACATCAATCATCAAGAGCTGTTGTCCTGAGGTACAGGCTTTTGCAAACACGGAGTTTCTAGCGTTCATTTTCCAGAAGATATTCAACTTCTATTCATTTCTATAGGTGCTCAGGACTCTCTTCCGTTTGGGTGTTTCATGTCTACTGCTTTTCTTTCTCAGGACTGGAGCCAGATATAATTGAGAACTTTCTGTCTTTAACATTCAGAAAGTTCTTTGCACTTCAATCCTGCTCTCTTGCATTCACATGACCTTTTTATTTCCGATACGG